AAAACGTACTTATCTATTGCCTATAACAACATAATTATATTATATGTATGTGTACTCGATTACACCATTTACGTACCTTTAAAACAATAGATATTTGTTGRTTGACCTTTGCTGGTAGCAAGTACTGATCTAGGAATACTGCACGAAATTGTATRGTATCTCCGAATTTGTAGAGTGCCTTATCAGTTTGCAAATATACCATTGGTAGATTTTCTACGTGTTYCAGGTTCGTGGAATTTTCAAAAATAATTCCCGACAGTCCTTGCGCCTTCAATACATATGTGCCATTTTTAATATCACCGAGTTCAAAGGTTACACTTTGTCCAGAATTAGGCGGCACCAMGATTTCGGTATTTTTGCTAAATTGTGACCCCTTCAGAGTGAGAGCGATTCTCGCATTATCCTGTACCTCATAAACACTCACATATATACTGTATTTAGAGTTGGGTCTTATGATGCCCGGTGACGTTATAGTATAATATCCTTCTGCCTGTACCTCGACAATTACCGCAATCACTAAGCCCAAAATGGGCAGCACTCCAGAAATATTCACCATACCGAGCACAAAGTCGTAAAACACTGAAGCTACGTTTCTCGTATTACTGATATTTATTTGAAAATTCTAATACAATTCGCATAAATGTGTACATGTATGTATGTTACGTGATGACCCTATAGGAAATTTTTGCTTATATTTACAATATTCAACTGTGTTCGATTCTATAAACTGATAATGATTAGAGAGATGTTGCGTGTTGCCTTAACTTCACTCAAAATTGAGTGCATATGAAGTAAAATATATTAATTAAAAAACATTTCAGTATTCACTTTTAAATGATATTTTTAATATTATATATACATATATTTGGTAGTCGAAAAAGTCTTTTCGTATTTTGTCAATAGATGTCTTTGCAGACATACATCTCTAGTGCTACCAATCATATGTATATTGTATAAATGAAATTTATGAAAGTTTGTAAACTACTTTAGTATCTATCTTTAGGAGTTGAAGATTTTTCGACGGAGAACGGGGAAATATTCAAACATACTCTTTATTTTATAAAGACTATATTCATGTTGGGGTTTTTATAATCTTATCAACAAAATTGCATCGTTCATTAGTATACATATGCATATGTTTCAAGCATATTAGACTGTGTTTGTATAAATCTAGGAGTAATTCTACGTCTAAATACATATTTATTAATTCACCCAGAAAGGTAAACGTTTGCCGATTGTGGTTATTTAACAAATTTGTGAAATAGAAGGAAGAATTACACGGAATAAATTGCGTGAAATTACATTGAAATAAAATATATACAGATTATTATTTGTAAATTTTTTATAATCTTGAAATATGAAAACATGTGCTGTTTGTGTTGCCAAAAACTATTCGCGATATAGAGTTGTGCACATAAAAATAATTTGCATGAGGAGACCAGTTGAAATCCGCATGTGAATAAAAATTTAAATATATTTGATGCGATTCCATGGCGTCTTCGGAAGGTTAGTATTGAAAATGAGAGCAATGTCTTTGATCGTAAATCTATAAAATGTTATAACTATGCCCAAACCAAAGCTACAAAAATTAAGTTTTGTACAGGGGATCACAGTAGAGCGTCTCTCGATAGGAATGGCATGTTTTTGGCAGCAGCTTATGGGAGTCATGTTTCTTTAAAGATTTGTGTCAAATTTTGTCAATATGTTGAGTAAAGTTTGTCATTTCATCATAACACGCTTTACTTTGGTACAACCCACGGAAATTGTCCGAGATTCTTGGCTGGCTACTGTAGGAGCGCTACGCATAAAACACTGTCATCATACTGCTTTTTTAAGGGAGTTTTTCAACGCATAATTTTAAAATTCTAAAATGATTATAATGTTCACGATACTGTGCTTTATTACTGTTCCACGAAATATTGCTGCCATTCAGGCTAGTATTGAGGCTAATCCGAATCAATTAGTTCAACGTTATTCTGCACAGTTGGCTCTCTTTCCGATGACAACATGGCGCATTTTGTGTTTGGATTTGGCTCTGCACCCATATAAGATTGGGTTGGCACAAGAACTGAAGCCGACAGTTCTTTGAAGCGATTGCTTTGGTAATTGTCATTGTTCGTCTTGTTGTTCAGGAAACGCAATTGCAACCCCAAAAATGAACCGTTTGTTTCGGATTGAGGTATTGGGTCTTATTTCTTTCGAAATGAGGAAAAAAAAATCCGTTACCATCAATAGCGACCATCATAATACAATGTTGATCGACCGAATGGTCGAAAACACTTCAGCWCTGAAAGTMTTCGAAGCAGTACTCGCCGGGTGAAGCAGAGGAAGAGGAAGCCTCCACTCCGGTGAAAAGACCAAGTGGAGAATTTCTTGGCTTCACTTAGAAACACCAATTAGCGCCAAAAACACATTTTTTTGTGATTTGTATGCGCATTTAACCCCTAAAATAATTTGAGTGCACCAGTAGCGGATCCAAAATTTTCTTTTCATATTTTTCTTTCAAAACATATTTGGAATATAAATTTTACTGCGTAAGTTATTTTGAAAATGAATTCAAATCAACGATTTTGGCTGTTAAAATCCCTTGTGAATCCACATAAAAAAAAATTGATCCACTAGTGTAGTCTGTAAATGACATTGTCGATTCGGTCAACTGCTCGTAACTCTCTAATAAATTCAAAATTCTGCCCATAGATAGTTAGTACTGAGATATTGCACTTCGACCTAGGGTCTATTGTGCCCATATCACACACGGTTTATTCTAAAAGCTGAATTAGTTTTAATACATCGCATTAATGAAATACAATTATGGCGTTACTTGGTAAAAATATTTATCAACCAAATTCTTTTCGTAGTAATCATACATGCTAATCACCGCCGGTTTTAGATTGTCCACATCAAATTCCTTTGACACTGGTATTTCTATGCAATCACTGTCATCTCGCTTTATACCTTCAAAGTACACATGAAGTTGTTGTTTTGATTTTCGAACCATTTTCTACAAATATACAATAAAACGTTTACAGATAAGAAAATGCAACAATAATACTTAGGTTCTAAGTCTCGCTTTACTTTGCTTATTTTATTTGAGTTTGAATTGTTGTACTTTTTTTATCACTTTCTTAAAAGTCATCAACAGATTTGTATAAAAGATGACCATTGCATTCGCTGGATAATTTTGTCAATTGGAAATTTAGCCGTCTAGTTAGATTTTTTGAACCCTATTTACCTTTGCTTGTTTCGGCAGCTTAATGTCACAACAGTCGACGCCAAATTCGTCACTTGTTGGCAGGTTAATTTCCAATATTGCCATATTAGACTGTTCAAGTTTCTCACCAACTAATTGCATGCAGGCTTTCAAGTTTTTTCTCGMAGTCGCGGTATCAGATATGGTAGARTTTATGTGGAAAGTATCGCTTAAGGGTTCCAAAGTATTGTATTGATATGAAATTTGGAAAGTCGCTTTGCCGCTTCCCGTTGCAGTAAACTGCAGTTCTCGGGTATTCTTAGGAAGCTGTGTGGTATGAGAATTTGCAATGAAACTGTCTTCAAAATTTAATTTAAAATTTAGTTATTATTTACCTCAACTTTCTTGTTAATATCTTTATTCTTTTCGCCAACTGTGAACGTGTGCACCAATTGCTTATGCGAGTAAACATCAATATCCAAAGTAGTGCCATGTTCCTTATATYGAGCGRCATAAATAGATAAGGCGCGCAGACCGACCTCTGTTTCGAAAGTCGATGCAAAACCGCCGTTACTATTACGTTTTGACACTATCCACTTGATAATGGGTGTAACCGGTTTTTTCAATTCCAACATTGTTATTAATATATAACCGGTTATATAAACATCAATATTCGCTGGCGTCTGCCCATGCTGCCACCATTTATGGTCACCGCTAGTCATTGCTTTCGCTTCCAATATTCCCAAAAGCTCTTCAACCATGGGATCCTTGCGCAGATGCAGCACATATAAAGACAATGCAGTGGCACGCATATCCCTATTTTGCTTCACGTTATTTCTAATATATCCTATAGCGTCATCAATAACTTTTTTATATTGATCTGAATATTGCGTATTTTCCAGCAGAGTGAGCACCACCGATGCAGTGACACTCAATTTATTGAGYGTAACAAAATCATATAAACTGCCATCTTCTCTGAAACTGCCATCGCCTTGTTGTTTGCTTGTTAGAAAAGCGAGTCCATTCTTAAGAATATTTTCATCCACATAGATATAGGACTTCGCTTCGTTAAAAATGCGTATAACATAAGCCGTAAGCCACGTATTACCTGGCGCCTTACCCCAGGTACTAAACGAATGATCAGGAACTTTGTAGGTGAGTTCTCGTTGATAGCCAATTTGCAGATAACTTTTTGCTGATTCATAAATTGCTTTATTCGTTGCACTTGTGCTCTAGAAGAGAAGAAAAGAGAAGAGGTGATGGCATAAATTTAAATGATAATTG